TATACACACACACACATACATATATATCTGTATAATATAAATGGGTTTAAATGACACAATATTTATATAATCAATAATATATCTAGATCGATAGATATAGATATAGATGGATAGAATACAATATGTAATAATCATCTGTCATTATAAAGATTTTTGTGTAGGTTCTCTATCTTGCAAAGAGCCTAAAATGTCGCAGCAGAGCATCAATTAACTTTGTGCAGTGTCCATGTGGTCATTATGTCATAAATGTCAAGAGTTTAGTCAAAGGCTTGATCCAAAGTGACCGCAAAACCGCTCCAAACTGGAGCTCCGCTGGCGTTGGGACGGCAAATGAAATATGGTGCACTGCTGGGTGTCACCTTTGTGAGATGATGCAAGGCATTCAACGAACTCATTCAATGCTGACATTTAAATGAAAGAATCCTTGTTGGCCTCATACAGAACTTGAAACGATACATACTGTGTAGGTGTCTCTTTATTTGAGACACATAGAATGACAACTTTTTCATACAACTCCAAAATAAAGTTTAAAGATGTCAGCACAAAATGTTATTTTCTTTCCTATTTTCATCTTCAAAGATAATTTACACTGATATAGATTTTTCACTTTTCAATTGGAATGTGTATGTTTGCTTCAATTGCTTTACTATATTGTACTTTGTAAATTGAATTGCTTCAATTTATAGTTAAGTCGAAAAAGTTAGACTGATTCAGCAGAATTATCACATAATCCCACAGTATTTGTTATCAGTCTTCAAATAAAAAATGAGTTCATTACCCCATCATGCAGTAAGTTAGATAAAGGTTGATTAGCCCGTCTACACGATATGTGGACTTTGATGTTACGTGTAGCGTTCAAGCCGACACTTGGTGGTTGTGGTGTGGTTACTTTGTGAGGCTCAAAGCAGGTCTTTGGGTATTTTTGTGAGCTTGTCAAGGAGGAAATCGGATGACAGATAGCTTGATGGCAAGAGAGCGGATGAGAGGGTCAACAAAACAGCTGATTTTGCCAAGGAGATCACAGTTCAATCCACACTTCCCACTGAGATCCACTGTGCTTATTTTTTCTCAGCTTCACATTTCTTTTTGCCGGCGTGAATTTTTCCAAAAGCCAACCACCCTCTTACCCCAAACCTTTAACTCGTGTTCTGGTCTTTCACCCTAACCTAAAGCTTGTCATTCAGCATGTCAATCATACAACAAATTTTAACTCTCTACTCTCCATGTCCATCAGGCCAGTCATGGAAGGCATTGAGTTCTACGGAAAAGCGTCCTTTTGTCGAGGAAGCAGAGCGTCTCCGCCTTCAGCACCTCCAGGATCACCCAAACTACAAGTATCGGCCTCGCCGCAAGAAGACCACAAAGAAACTCAAGCGCGTCGAACCGGGGCTCTTGCTTCACAGCTTGGCTCAGAGCCATAGCATGGGTCCGAGCATTGTCCCTGGAGAAAGTGGCTCTGGAACCTCTCCGTACGGACATGTGCCTCACCACCACCATCACCACTCCCACCACCTGCTGCCCTCTCTGGGGCACTTCAGGGACCTCCAGGCACCGGGGCACCAAGAGCTGGAGAGCTACGGCCTGCCCACCCCGGAGATGTCCCCTCTGGATGTTCTGGAAAACGGTGCAACTGAATCAGTCTTCTTCCCCCAGCATGCACAGGAGGACGCAGGGATGGGAGGCTGGAACAGCTACCACCATCCTCACCACCATAATCCGCATTACAGCCATCACTATGGCAACCACCACAACCCTATGCATGGTACGCCCGCACAGAGCCGGAGTCCAGGAATGAATGTGGGGGTGAGTGCAAGTCGGAATCCCAGAATGGCCTCGGTCGAATCAAACATGGCTTCGAGCATGAGCCCGGTTCCTTCAAGCGGTTCTCGGATGAACCCAGCGCAAACATCAGGCCGCCATATCACCTTGAGGAGTCCCATGAAATGCCCACCACCTTCCCATGACTCCTTGTCCTATCCCCAGTCCTCAATCAGCCTCCATGAGACAGTTAAGCCGCACCAAGGCTCCCTTCCTCTCAGCTACTACGGCCAAATGTATGGCAGCGCAGCCTCCAATTTCCCCCCGACTCACTTGGGCCAGCTTTCGCCTCCTCCTGAGCCCTCCCCCAATTCCTGCTCATCTTTCCTCCCTCCTGTGCATATAGCAGACCCATCCAATTCGGACTCAGCTGCTCATCTGGGGCCGTCTTCTTCGGCTGAATTCTGGTCAGAGGTGGACAGGCATGAATTGGACCAGTACGTAAATACGGCAAGAAACCGAGAGGAGGCCTTTGGACAAGGCGGGGTTGGGTCCAAAGTTCTGGTCTGGCGCGGTAGCGGTGGCGTTAGCAGCGCTGACAGAGATGGCGGTAGCGAAGAAGGAGTCAGCCCTCTTATATCTGCTCTTTCTGATGCTAGCAGTGCCGTTTATTACAGTGCATGTATCACTGGCTAACACTTAAATGTGTGGATGGACCTGAGTGTGGTTTGGATTCATTTGATGGGACGTGTTACGCTTCGACGTTGGCTCAACTCTTTGTCTTGCTTACACCCACGTGATCCCAATTAAAACACAAAGGAACATGGAGAAGAAAAAAAATGTGCCGGTTAAAACCAAATACTGGTAAAGAAGTCACTCAGCAGTAAATACTTAAAAATGGAATGCATTCCTTGGCTACAATGTGCTAGCTGTGTTTCGAGTTAACAACAGAGTGGCCCAATATGTCACAACATTAGCACTTGTGAGTCAATCTCATTTTTGATCTCTTTGAATAAGGGATTACAACACCTAAACTTTGACAATCTAAAAGATGGACGCGTTTATACATTCATAATTCAGGTGCGGTGGTTTCAGCGGTGACAATGTCACACTGGAGTGTACCACTAACTAACTGGAAGACTTCACCATCAAACTGGAAGACACATTTCAAGGTCAAAGTCAAATACCTTGCGGTCTTGATGAGGTTGAGATGAATTGAAGGTGCTGATTTAATGGCCGCATGAAGGCCAAGCTCACGAGAAAAGCCGGCTCATGGGAGAACTCGATCCGACCTCCATGCGCGTGTTTCCGGGAAAGCCTCGGCCACAAAGCCGGGGTGGATCACTGAGGTCTCCCACAAGCTATTCAGATGTTTTACAAGATGGCTTTAGGTTTGTTCCTGAGTGAGACTTGTGATATATTTCTTATTTCCTCACTTGGTGCCAACATGTCTTTTGGCAAATGTGACCCTTGTGCGGATTAGGAAGTCTTTCCTTTTAATCAGTAGACGTCTCAAACATGTCTCTTGTTTAGCTGTATGCAACAAAAAAAGATGGAGCTTCAGGCCCCGATGCGTAGATCATGGAAACGTTCAAATTCCACGATCACAATCAGCTCTGGGATTAGTTTTTTTCCTTTTTTTTTTTTTTTTGAGTACAAGCCAGAATTGGCCACAATGTGAAAGCAGTACAATAAAAACATGGAAGTACAGATGATACAAGGCCGGTGATTATTGCCATGTTTTGTTCATGGCCTGTAAACCACACTGTTAACATTGGCACTCGTTTCTCATGCTAATCCATAATGTAAAATCAGTATGGCGCGCATGCAAAATTATATTCCAGCATGAGCCACATTTCTTTCGCTGTCTGGCTTCACATCATATCATACAAAGAGGAAAATGTGACGTCTAAATCTCTCCATTTTTAATGGTTGTTTTGCTAGCACATGCGACATTTGGAATGCCCGATTTGATGTCGACGTTAATGGTGCATAATACTTTAAATCGAGTTGATGCGCGATTCTGTGAAGGGGAAATTGAAGTATGAAATGTTCTCTTTGCACTGGGTTTAATATGTTTGCTGTATAGAATTTGAAATCAAAACGTCCTTACTTTTAAAAGGGCTGTCTTCTTTTTTTTTTTAAGTTTTATTTTATATAAAGAGTTGAGGATTTATTTGCTTTATTTACCTTGGTCGAGCTACGTCTCTAAGCTGTGATGATTAAAAAAAAAAAATTCTTATCTCCACACATGATCAGTGCATTTTAATGGAAAGTACAGGATATTCTCAACATTTCATTTTCAAGATGAAAATGTGAATAACTACACATCCAAGGCAAACAACATCAAATGGGCTTCATGTTGAAAAATGATTAATTTATTTAGTCAGAAGTCCATTGCCTCAGTTTTGGTATGGATTTGTGATGCTCGGGACAGCACCGCAAATGCTAATTTGCTGAAGTGTATGATCTACACATTTAAAATGAATCATTTTCCTGTCAAAAATGTCGCTCCAAGGCGCATTGACTCTCAACTGATTTGTAGCAGAATTCTCATCATTTAATGCTAACTTTATGCCAAGTTTAGCTAACAAGCAATTTGATCAATATGAACATCTCCCGCTCTTCCTCGGAAGGCATCTTTGTGTAACGTTTTTGCATTATGAATGTGACTAATTGAGAATGACCCGGCGAATCTATTACAAGATCAACTTCGATCAATCCAAGAAAAGGTTCTCCTTACAGCCAGATTAGCCGTTTTACTGCAGAGTATAACGGGAATTTGTGGTTTTGTCTGTGCTGGGAAAAATGACAAACCAACCCCCACCCCAGCCCGTTTTTTTTTTTTTATGTAGATGTTTATACAACATGTAGTTTTGTTGCGAGCGAGATCTTGAATGTGATCTTTCCCTACATCTGTTGTACATTAAAGCCACACACAATACATTTTTCGTCATGACACAGTAGAATAATATCAAGTACGTCGTACAATATTTACCACACGGTTCCTTTGTGGCCGAATTCATCTTTCCAAGTGTGTCCTCGGAGGGTTGAAGTTCACTTGGAGAAGCAACATTCTGAAAAAGTCCTTCTTGTTCTTCTTCGCCAGCATTTTGTTCCCACTTTAATTAGCTGTGACACACAAAGAACATCAGAGGGGCATTTCTTTGGAGTCATGCAATAACTCTGAGGCTTTTGGTTATAATTATGTGCAGTGAGGTTGGGGTGGCGGGACAAAAAGGACACATAACATTTGAGGATTGATACAAAGGACATTTTCTCAAGCGGCATAAATAAATTCTGAGAAGGATTTTTCCCACTCATTCACAATCTGTTTGGCAGGGACATTTTGTAGACGTAGTTCTTTTGTTTGTCTATTGTTTTCTTTTTGGAATATTTTGGGTGGTCTGTACATGCTTCTGTACTATTTTATGATGGAATTTGACAAAATAAACACGTAATAAACACAGCAGTCTCATTTCGGTCTCAAAATTCTTATCATCAATGTCAATCAAGTATTATCTTTCATTTCTTGAGGCAAAGGTGACCAGAAACCAAACACGATCAAATCTAAATCATGATGTCTTCAATTTTCAATACATTTGATTAGATATATCATTCAATTGCATTATTTGTTCCGGAACGCTGGTCTAAAAATAAATGGATATTGAGTCAAGTCTTACTCAAGTCCCGCTAATCTAATCATGCGCCAAAACGGACCGTTTCAAGGTCATGCTCATTGTCACAAAACTTAACTCTCCAAGCAAAAGTTATACATCTTAACGTGCTTGCTTCCGACGCTAAACTGAACATGCGTAATCGTGAACGCCAACATAATAAAAACTTTGATATGTGGCGCTTTATTGAGCTATATCGCTCGAAATGCGACTTTGTGCAACTTCCTGTTAATAGTCACTTTTCTTCTTCTATTTCCTTCTTAAATTTGATGTTACATTTCCTGAAAATGTTTGTTCTGAACTGAATTATACGACCTCAACAAAAAGCTGAGGTTGTCAGTCATCTTAATTCCGGTGAAATTTTGCTCAATTGAAGCCACATTTTTAGCTACATATGCTAGCTCTTATGGATCACAGATGAGCCAGCAAATTGATCTGGTTATCAGACTTCTAAACGTTTTAATAAGAAAAATAAGACGAAGGTTAAAAATATGGACAATTAATCTTATAGAATTACACACATTATCATTTTAAGATGTTTGGCTCAAGTACGTTTGGGAATTTAGTTGAATAGCAAGCCAACAAATTCTAAATACTGGGTAAGCTAAATCTCAGATTTGTTAAACCAACAAACAAATGTTTCTTTTGCGTCTTGGAGATGATCCGCAGGTGCTGATACTGAGATCACCGCGTCTCAGCCGCACAATCTTGTCAAATGATCTTAAGAACCACTTAGGACAAGTTTCACATCCAATCTTGTGGCGTCGGATCACGAACGACCTCGAAGAAGCTGAGTTGCAAAACCGCAAGTTCTTACAGGAAACCACATCACAACACCAAGTGTCAGGGGATCTGCGGTCCTGACGCGAAAGCATCCAACTCCAGAATCCAAATGATTTGAGGTTTTCTATGAAGAACACAAATTTCACAGTTCCCTTGATGTTTCAGGGTAAGTCATCCGATAAACCGCACTGAAGGCTGAATGTACAAGTTCACACCTTGTTCAGCTTGGATGAACAAGTCCAGGCATGATTTACTTTGTCTGGATTCGTGTTCTAAAACACATTAAATGATATACAGTGGCTATAAAAAGTCTACCCAGTTCAAATGGCAGCGTTTTGTGATGGAGGAAAAAAAATGAGACCCAGATCAGTCATTTCCAAACTTTTTTCCACCATTAGTGGGGCCTGTAACATGAATAACTCAATTGAAATAAATAGCAAAGTAAAACTTAACAACTGCTGAAAAATCAACAACACTTTGAGGCGATCCGAATGGCATATCTGAGGTGAAAATGTCACCATTGACCTAACTGCAGATGCGTTCAGTGTAACTTGCTAGTTATCATGCCATATTCATAACATTGCCCATGTTATCTTTTTGTGTTTGGCAGCACCTTTTCACTCACTAGAGGTGTCAAATTTGTTTTTACCGCTCGCCAGATTAACAGCGAGACCGCACACATGTAGAATCTCTCGAGCTGAAACTGCGCAGCAATAATCACGGCTCGGCACGCGCCTGGATTTGAAGTTCAGTTTATGTTCAGTACAGTGAGTGAACAAAATGCGAAACAAAATGTTGTTCTTTTGCGCAGCTGCAAACAGGAACATTTTCAATGATTTAAAATGAAACGCCAACATCTTAAATCGCTTCGGGAAGGTCTGTCTTATCTTTGGGAACTGAACCATGCCCACAAGAGCGACAGTAATCCTTTGAAAAGTGAATTACTGTGATATAAAAACTCCAGCAACGGCATTTGTTATTGCTTAGACTTCCATTTCCTCTGAGAGCTGCATTTGTGCTGCGCTTTTTTGGTTTTGGTGTTTAAATGTTTTTCATTAGTCACTGATGGTGTCTGGGTACATATGCCTAAACTCGATGCAGGCAGCGCGGGTTCAGTTCCCGCTCAGCAACAGAGTGAATATGGTTTTGTCCGTCTCTGCATGTGCCCTGTGACTGACTGTCGACCAGTCCAGGCTGTAGTCCGCCTATGGCCCAAAGTTATCTCACCGGTGACCCCGGAGAGGATAAACCGTATAGAAAATGAATGGATGGATGTTTTTCATTAAGGCTGTAGACCATAATGACTTGTGCGCACATGTTGCACAATGTTGTGTGTTTACGCAGATAAAAAGCAATGCGGTGTCATAAAAGACGTTCAAAGGGTGCGACGTCGACTTGATGAACTCATCACAGCTTTCTGTGTGGGAGGGGCCTGAATGGCTCATGTGATGGCAAACAAAATGTCCCAGACGGTTTGGGAGAAATTCCACTGGGGTGGAGTTTGGATGTCCATGTGTTCGAGAGAGAGAGAGAGAGAGAGAGAGAGAGAGAGAGAGAGAGAGAGAGAGAGAGAGAGAGAGAGA